TGGGAACTCTCTCTGATTGATACCTTGTCCATTTTCAGAATAACATCGTTGTCTAAATGGTACTCTTTGAACTGGTTTTGCAGTTTGTTGTAGCAATGGGCACACGGACTGAAAATGTCCAGTCTCTTGACAATTGAAACATCTCATCTTTTGTCGATCAACTCTTCTCTGCTGGCCTCTTTGCTTTACTTCATCTAGAACTTGTCCAATCAATGTCCCCAATCTTGTAATCTCGGACTCTACAGTTTTTTCTTCAACCTTTGCCGGTTTTTCTTGAACATTCACTTGACGAGCGTTTCCACGTGAATGATAATGTCCCCAACGATCAGCTAAATGATAAGATTCTAATTCGAGCACAACTTCTAGCGCGCCTTGGACATTCTTCGCTCTGGCTTGCCTAACCCGTATTCTACTTTCTTCGTCAAAAAGCGCATCTATGAATTGGTCTTTAGCTAGAGTATCTTGCAACTCTGACTCAGCTTTTGGGTAAGCGAGTTTCACTAGCCTTTCTATGTCCGCGGCTAACTCAGGCAATGTTTCTTCGCGTTTTTTCACTCTTGTCTTAAATTTCGCTCTTGCTAACTCTGATTGGTGACTTGCTCCAAAGCGATTAGATAAAGCCTTCACAAGTGAATCATATTCACCTCTATTTTCATCAGAAAGGTTACTTAAAATCAGTGTGACGTTCCCTTTTAGACTAGTTGCCAAAAATTTAGCTTTCTCTTCCACTGTCCAGCCATTTATTTGCGATGCAATTTCAAACTGAGCGCTATACGCTTCCCAAGATTGGCTCCCGTCATACGTAGGCGGTGATTGTATAGGCTTAGAAACTTTATGAGGACTGCTCATACTTACCAAATTGGTTGCTGGTGTAGAAATGGTTTCTTTCGAATCTACTCCAGTGTTTTCTTTAATTTTATCTAGTTTTCTGTTCAACCCGTACAATTGAATCCCTTACTTCTTTCAACTTATTATCAATGTAAGTTAATAGCATTGTTTCAGTTTCACTAACATCATCCAATCTCTTGTCTTCTATTGAACTAAGGCGATTCTCTAATCCTTGCAATCTCTCATCCATTACTTGTTGCATACGGTGTATTTGCATTTATTGACTCTCGATTATTACAATAAGATTATTAACTTGACCCTCCAGTTCGTTTTTTTCGGCGTCCGCATTTGCGACAAAATGTTTAACCTCCTTCAAGATGTCCGTAACWCGTTATTCAAAGGCTTCATTCTTTTGATCTTGTATTCCTCAACACCAGAATGCATTCCAGATTCGGAGAGTTCTTCCCTATTCCTTGCCTTAGATCTTGTTTCCATGAGCTAGCACTTAATACTGTACCTGACGCTTCCAGAATCTCAAACCTTGCTCTGCTACCAAAAATGTACCGTCGGGCCCAAAGCCAACGACGAAGTCCTCAAGTATTAACTGCTGCTCACTTTATTTTACATTTACATTTCTTATATAGAGGGCTGGTGATGTAATCCCAATTTTCACGTGCATATATATAATCCCTTATTCTTAAAGTCCTTGCTCAACTATCCATTTAATCCCTTATTCTTTATGCTTAACCGCGTAACAATATAAAAAATTGGACAGCTTATTTTTACATTTAGACCATATAAAAGTTAATCTGTGCCAACAAAAAAATGTCAACCCCAAAAAAATATTCGATCCCTTTGGCAGTAACGACATTCCATACCATTGATCCAATGTGTTGTCCCAAAAACTCAGAACTTTAAAACTTTAGCAAGAATTTGTTTTGTTGAAATGATTTACTTTCTCATGAAAATAAAATATCTTATGATCGTTGTAACGCGTTTGGAAAAAGATATTTTGGAGTTGTTTGTCGGAAATATTTTATTTGCACTCCGAAAAATGTTACAAAGTCACTCTGAACCATGAATCAATCCCCTCCACTCCCCCGTGGTGTTGGTTTGTGTTGACATGTAAACGAGGCAGTCACGTGGTATCAGAGGAGCAGTCGACGAGAAAAGTTGTGTGAATATTTTCTGACTAAAAATCCTTTTTATTCTCAAATATGGATCTTTAAGGGCTCATACTGCATCCTAAAGGTAAATTACCTATTATATTAGCCATTTATTGTTTAATTGATTTATCTAAAGCGATATTTTAGAGTTGAATTGACCGTAAAGAGTTCGGTTGCTTGTCGCCATGTTTTGGCGGAATTCATTCTCAACAATTTAGCTTCAAGTTGAACGATTTATTGCTTGAAAAAACTTAAATATCCCAAATAAATTATGCTTTAATGCTTATTTGGAAATTTAGCAATGATTTATAGTAAATTATCTATATTTTGTGCGATTTGGTTGGATTTTACGGCCTCATCAAACAGACTATTGAAGTCAGTTTTCGTTCGGCGTTTGATTTTTGTTTGCGCTTGGAATCTTGAATGAACTTCGAGTCAGACTAAAATACGAAATAAATACAAGTCATTATGAGAATAAGAGATATCAGATTTCTCCAAATCCAAAGATTACTGCAAGTCCCTTGAGATCGTAGGGTGAGAACTCGCCTAAAGTTCGTTTTGGAAGAATAGATAAATAAACTTTTGTCGATCAAAGTTAGAAAGAACTGCTGCCCATGACTCTTCAGCTTCACCTTCAGAGTAATGGGAGTGAAGGGTTAAATGAATTATTTTTGGAGATTAAAACCCATTTTTTTTTGCTGAGGATTTGGGCAAGCAAGCAATGAATCTTCTCAAAATCCTGGTATTTTGGTTTTATTGAGGAGATATAACAATCTTGTTGTCACACAACAGTTTTCTTCGCTGCTAAAGCTTTTGACTCATTAGTAATGTTTCTCTTACTAATTTGCTATGAGATTTAAATTTTCTAAAAAGGTAAAAAATATGTTTTGTGGAAATACATGTATTTTATTTGGATACCAACAGACTTCAGTACTTGATAAGTGAAAACACATAGTATGTTAAAGTGCATGTCAGGGTTTGCTGGTTTCATTTCTAGAATTAAGATTATGTTTAAGTAAAAGCATTTAAAAGCATCACGTTTATGCTAATCCCATTATTCTGATTTTCAAATTTTTTTATCTGGCCTATCTTGACTGGATACTCATTTTCTTTCATATTAATTTCATATTAATTATAGGCCACCGCATAGGATCAATGTGAAAGGTGTTACCAGTTTCATCATTGGAGTCCTAGCCCTCCAGCAATTACAAAATATCTTTGATCTTTTTCTTATTTGCTTTTCTCAATGCAGGCAGAATAGCTGGTCTGTTGATTTGCAGCTTTTCTCTGAGGTCTTTCATAAATAAATATGAAATAAAGAAATAAAGAAAATACTTTGAATTAAAGAAAATGAAAACTTTGGTTGTTTGAAAGTTTTGGTTGTTTCACTTAAATAACGCCTTACTTGTAAGACTTGTTTGAAATCGGGATGGTCGGTAATCTGATGGACCAGAAAATCTACTA